GAAGGGAGTTCCAGAGCCTCGGGGCATAGTGGCTGAAGGCACGGCTGCCGAGGGTAGAGCGGGACGAGGAGGAGGCCAGACCCAGAGGAACGAAGGCAAACGGTACTGTTTTGAGGAGAGAGGAGGTCAGAGAGGTAGGGGGGATGCAGAGGAGTGCAGGGACTTGAAAACAAGGGTGAGGATCTTGAAATCGATCCTCTCTGAGATAGGCAGCCAGTGCAGTCTGGGGTGATCGGGGAGCGGTTTTGTGCGGGTGAGAATGCACGCGGCAGAGTTTTGAATGATTTGGATTTTATGGATGGTAGTGGATGGGAGACCGGCGAGAAGGGCGTCAGAGTAGTCCAGCCGAGAGGTAACAAAGGCATGGACCAGAGTTTCAGTGGCTTTTGGGGAGAGATATTGGAGCAGCTGAACGGCTGCTTCAGGATCTCCGGGGGTGGAAAGCCCTCCTCCGGGATCAGCGTTGTGCTCCGCCACTGTCAAGAGCTCTAGGATGCTGCCCTGCATGAGGGGAGCTATATAAATGCAAGTTGTTGTTGTATGGAAGCGTTTAGGAGGAAATTCTTTACACAGAGGGTAGTGAGAATGTGGAAGAAAGTGCTGTATCAAATGCAAGCAAACATATACACACACAAGCACACCAGCTATATCTGATACTTACTATCCCACTCTCATCTCATCTACTCAGCAAACTCAGGGCCCACGTTTCCAGCCCCATCATTGATGGTCGAGCCTACAGCAACTTCAACCTTTGGAACTCCCTTCAAACCCTGATCTCATTCCCTCTCTATTGGTCTTTAAATGCCACCTAAAAACATACCCCTTTGACCATACCTTCAGTCATCTTCCCTTTCCCTCAGGATATGACACCATCCTAATAAAGTGCAAATAATGCAGCAAGGTAGATGAGAACATCCTCAACATTATGTTAGATGGAGTGTCAGCAGTCCTGACTGCAGCATCCTTGGATTGGGGAGAAATCAGCCACTGTTCCCACTTCTGATCCTATTCAATGACTCATATTAGAAAGTTAAATGTGTTTAGAATTGGGATTGATTAGCCTGTCAACATTCACAGTGTAGGGCAAATGAAGAATGACCACCTAAAATCATAGGAATTTTAAAAATACAGAAGGCCATTTCGCCAATGTTGTCTGTGTTGAATGTTTGTAAAAGCAATCCATTTACTTGCCTTTACCCTGTACCCCTACAAATTACTCATTTTTGCATAACTCTCTAGCTCTCTCTTGAAAGTTACTATGGATTTTGGCTTGACCATTGCACCTGACAGAGAATTCCATCTCCTAACTTTGTGCCAACAAAAAAACAATTCCTTACCCCACCTACAAGATTGGTGGAAATATTTTCTCTCCTTTGCCTATCAACATCTCCATAATTTGGAGTTATGCAAAGTACCAGACTCCTTCTCGCAAAAATGAGCCAATAATACATGACATCTAGCACCATTTCATTTGGGGCACTTCAAATGAAGATTAGGCATGCATTCAAGATGCCAGATGAAATACTTGAAGCGCTGTATCTGAATTACAAATGAACCGATTTTGATAACACTGGCCTTTCATAATAAATAACTATTTTTCTCAAATTTAGAAAAAACTGTTCTTATTCAACTGATCATGAGTTTGATCTCAATATCTCTCAATATTGTTGCATATGTTTTTTTCATAACTCACTTTTTTCTTAAAAGAAAATTGCCCATGAAATCAGCAAAATAAATGAGGTACACAACTAGCTTGGATGAAGTGGGATTTTTTGCAGTTCGTATGTGCAGTATTGGTTAACTGAAGTAGGTGCAGTTGTATCTAATTTGTGCAATATATTAGAAAGGACTCAAATGTCCATGTTTGAATTTCTGATTTTTATGGTTGTGATATGCTGTTAAAAACACAAATCATAAAATGCTACAGTAGAGTTCTCTCAACCTACCAAGCTTCAACATTTTAAAATGCAGCTTCATCAACCAGTAAATTAATCCTCGAAGGTAGACATTTCACTAGATGTTTCTCTGCATGACACAAAGTTCCCTTTTGTTTAAGTCATCCATAGCATTAGAGTAACCTTGAGGTTATTTTATACAAACATTACTTGAAATTCAGTCCTCAAATAATAATAAATAATACTTGCATTTGATATAGCGTTTCTCACGTCTTCTAGACGTCTCAAAGCGCTTCATAGGGTATATTGTAAAGTGAATTGACTGTATATTTGTGGGTGAAACGTGGCGGTCAATTGCGCACAGCAGTGTCCCACAAACAGTGGTGGATTGAGTGACCAAATTATTATTGTTTTTCTTGAGGGATTATTATCAGGTGTGAAACTATAACTTCAATACATGGCTTCAAAACACTGAAGCACTGCTCCGTGCATAGATATTTTCCCTACACGAAAAACATACCTGACTTAATGTATTGTTAGCAGATAATAGGGGCGTAACTTTGAACATCAGAATGTCTGAAGTATAAGGGGTGGCGGTGGCGGGGGGGGGTGGGGGGGGGATCTGGCGAATGAATCAATGCTGACTGTTGTTCTCTGGTGTTCAGACAATGAAGATACGTATCAGCAAAGATTTGGTGCTTAAATTCGAAACCGTGATCATTTTTTTTAAAAAAAACACGACAACTGATTGTTTTTTTTAAAAAAAACACAGGTTGCAAATTTGCATCGCCTTCATTTCAATGAAATGTGCCTCCTCTCCCAAGCAAAATGCGACGATACCAGAAAATCCGGGCACGTTACAAACCCGTGAAAAATTTACTTTGACCTGAAGTTAATTTCAAAACAAGTACCATCATCCCGCACGGTAAAAGTGGGCATTTATTCTGCAATCAAAACTAAATAAAAATTCCACACAAATGTACTGCACTTTGCATTCCCGCTGCTATTGCAATCCCACGTTTACATCGGCTGCCGTCTCCTCAAAATGTTGAGACAGTTTAGACGGGATACACAGGATACACAGAATAAATAAACTGAGAGAGGCTTTGGCATAAAATCAATTTCTGCTGTGGGTACCGCGTTAAGTGCGGCGATGGGTGTTTAATAAGTAAAGTGTGGATCGCCTTTCGGAACTCAAAATACAGCAGAACCGAGTTTAGAGGCGTATAGGGATCAAAACAACACCCAGTCGGTAACTTGCTTTCGATCAGACTCGTCTGTATCACGATCAACCCGGACATCAAACCGCGTGGATACAGTACCAACTGTGGTTTACAGACACCCGACCGTACGCTTCGAACAGAAACTGCATCAGAAACGCGAGGTTAGGGATTTGAGCGCTAAAAGAAATGGTTAAAACTGGTTCTCGAACAGAAGCAAAATAAATATAGAAAAAGGGCGGGTGGGCATATGGCTTACACCGTACTACGGGGTAGTACATGAGAGGCGAAACGCTCCCGATATCCCCGCGACTCCCGATCAACCGCACTCAACAGGAACGGCGAGTGATCTTTGTGGCGGAAAGCGATGCCCAACGATGGCCCGGCCCGGCCCGGCACTCTGCCACCGGACAGCGGCGGCAAAACAAGTCCTCCTCCAGGGGAGGCCAAACCTGCTTTTCCCCTCTCCATCCATGGGGAGTGTGGAGGGGGAGAGAGAGAGAGAGAGAGAAGGGGGGAAAAAAAGCTGGAAGCCGAGCAGGTGAACGCTCGGCGGTTGAGCTCAGGACTGAACCAGGTACACATCACACAACCTGCCGCCGGCACCGAGAGAGGGGCCGGAGAGAGACAGAGAGAGAGAGAGAGAGAGAAACAACAGCACAAACCCGCCCCTCGCTATCCAGCCGTTTCGACTCTCGACGTTCATTTGTTTCACCGACGTGAGCCCCGGAAAAAATGCGCATACGGATAAATATTTAAAGACGCGGTCTAAACCGACTGAATGAATCGCCAGACGATCAGTCCCGCGTTTGGCCGTTTAAAACTCCTTACCTGCTCGGGGGGGGGCGGGGGGGCGTCGGCTTTGTGTGTGTGTTCAGAGTGTGGGGCTGAACGCGGGGGTTGGGAGTGAGGGAGAGAGGGAGAGAAGAGAGAGGGAGGGAGTGAGGGAGAGAGGGAGTGAGGGAGGGAGAGAACGCGTTTCAGTTGGAGAATAACGTCTTCATTGTCCTGCCGCCGCCGCCGCCGCCGCTGGTGGGGAAGCCTTTCGTTCTTCCCGGTCCGCCCCTCGTTAACGCCTCCCCAAGTTTTACACGGCACCGGCGCACGGCGACCGACCCGGGAGGCGGTGGTGGGGGTGACCTCGACTCCCGTAACAAAGAAATCCTCTTTTTTTTTCTCTCCCCCTTTTCTCTCTCTCTCTCTCTCTCTCTCTCTCCCCCTCCGGGGGAAAAAAATAGCGGATTATCAAAGGCTTTCGCGTCTTAAATGAGAGTTGGGGAGTGGGGGCGGGGGACGAGGAGCTGATAGCCTTCTCCGCGGCGGCGCTGTTTGACTATCGCTGCCTCCAGCACTCCCCGGCGGGCGGTGCGGACGGACGGAGAGCTCGGCGACTGGGGCGCGCGATTGACTCGCGTCTCCGGCAACCGTCGAGCTCGAGCGCGCGACCATTGTGACGACGCTCGAGCGGCGGGTGAGCGGGCCAACGGGCGAGGGCTGCGCGAGAGACCGCCCCCCCACTCGCGCCATCAGCCAACCGCCCTGCGGCGGCCCGCGAGGGGGCCAGAGGGCCAGATTGTGCGGGTTCGCGCCCAATTGGGCGGCTTTCTGCTTTGCTGCGCGTGTGTGTGTGTGTGTGTAAAAAAAAGAACCTCCGTGAGCGGGAGCTCCAATTTGTTTTAAGATTTAAAACCCGAAAATCTTTTTGTCGTTTCTTTTTTTCAAAAAAAAAAGATCTTTTCTTACGCGGTTTCAAAAAAAAAAGCACTAAAACCTGCGACGCATCGTGTGTGGGCTATTTTGGGCTCGTGTTTGGGTGATTTGGGGCTACAAAACGTATTGTGATTTCTGGCCGTGGGGGGGCGCTGTCGGGGACTTCCGGTCCTTTCAGTTGGGTGGAAGTGTAGAGCAACTCAAACGGCGGCCCCGGGCCCGGGAGAGCCCACAACAAACAGCCATTTGCCTCCTAAAAGCTACGTTGGCTGGAGGTTTGAAACCCTTTCACGGTCTACTCCCGAGCCTGAAAGGTCCCCCCACCTCCCCTCTGCGTGGTTTAATTCATCTGCCCGCTTAGCTCTGCTTACGACAACGCCCCCCCCCCCCCCCCGGACATGTCGGCCATCGCGGCTCTGGCTTCGTACGACAGCGACGACGAGTCGGACACGGAGGTCGGGCAGGTTCCCTGCAGAGACGCCGTGGCTCATCTGCACCCGCTCCCTTCGGGGAAGTCGTTGTCGGACCTCCATAAATCCCTCGCCTTGAACGCGGCCCCCGACGTTGCTGTGAAGGTGGGTGTCGCGGGCCTCTCGGCCCTGCCTCGGCCTCGGTCTCGGTCTCGGTCGGGCGGTGCACGCTGTCGGCCCGTGTCCGGTTCCACACCGGCTCTTGTGTGTGTTTCACACAGACACAACGTGCAGAGAAACTGCCGGAGGTGAGGCTGCTCCTGGGGCTGTGCCACTCCGACCCATTCACATGTCTTCCATCTTGACATAAGGAGCTGAAATGGCCTTCCAACAGGGCAGAGAGGGGAGTTCCTCCCGGTGTGTTGGCCAGTAAATGTCCCCATGTTCATTTACAAACACACCGTCACTACATTTAGGGGAGATTACCCGCCAAGTACTTTGATGTACAGTGTTGATGTATATTTGTCTATATTTGCCTCTGTTTACTGAGCAGTAATCAGGAACTCCGTTGTTAGTCGATGGGCAGATTGCTTTCCAGAGGTAATAATCCCTCAAAACAAATGTGGTCGCTCAATCCATGACTTTGTGGGGCAATTGCTGTGTGCAATTGGCGGCTACATTTTGCCCATATAAAATACACAGTAAATTCACTTCACAGTAGATTCTGTGAAGCGCTTTGAGACTCTTAACAATGTAATGATGCACTATATCGAATACAAGGATTAATAGTCTTCTATTTTTGAACGCTTTGAGATTGAACGGTAAATGGTTTTGCACTTACTCCTTGTTCTGATGGGGCACACGTTGGTGCATTCCAATATTAAAACACCAACAAGGTAGGCAGAGAAGGTGTTTGCGCTTGATGCAAACTGGCAATAGGAAACATTTAATGATGTATTCGTGGAGGTTTTTTTTTAACCAGGGCGAATGCTAACCATATGCTGTTCAACATACATTCTGTGAGCTCTGGGACTTTGACATTCACAAAATAGATTACCATAATAGGCTGAAAACCAATAAATCCGCTGGGCTATATGAACTGTACCCAAGGATATTTACTCCCAAGGAGAACTTGTGAAATACTGATGGTCATTCTGAGACAATCCGTGAACACTGAAGAAGTTCCAATAGACGCTAAAGAGACACATATGTTCAAAAAGGGTGAAATAACTGCTTTTCCGAATGAATAGTACTGTATAATGTATATGTACATTATATACATTATATAATATATGTGTGTTGTACCAAATCAGTTATTTCATGTCCCACAATTAATTTCTTTATCCTTAGCCCCTTCCCTCATTGTTTTTTTTTTCTTGACTCATTTGACATCTAAGCAATTCCTTAATACTAATTTTCCAGTTTATTTTGGAAGCATTCCTAAGCATCTCTATAATCTAATGCCATTACGTAATACAGACAATACACAAAATGACATTTGTATAGCACCTTTCGTAGCGGGAGGATGTCCCAACGATGCGAAAGGCGCTAGTCAGGGATTTGGAATTTTTGGACCCGAGCTAGAGGTCGGAATTGGTGGAGGGCAGGGAGGAAAGTTTTGAGACGCGCCTTGAAGGAGGCGATGGAGCAAAGCTAAGCAAATTGACCGCCACTGGTGGGGTGGGCTGGGCGGAGGACGTGGAGCAGGCCAGAGTCTGCTGAGCAGAGGGAGCGGACAGATAGATGTGGAGTCAACAGGTCACAGAGGTAGGGAAGGGCAAAGCTGCGGAGGGCCTGGAAGGCGAGGATTTTTAACTATCCTCTGGAGGATGGGGAGCCAGTGGAGTTAGGCGAGGGTGGGGCTGATGGGGTCACATAGACTTGTGTGGGAGAGGACACGAGCTGCCAAGTTCTGGATAATCTGATTAAAATGGCTCCATGGTTTGAGAGAAGATATGAATGTAGAGTTATGTCTGCAAACTCTCTCCCTCAATCCTTCCGGCTTGCCTCCTTCCTCCACTTTCAAATTTTGCTTAAAGACCTTCATTTTTGATCATACTTATGGTCACCTCGCCCTCCCTCTCCTCCTGGCTCGTTTTCAGAGTTGTTTAACTTGTGAAGTGCTCCTGAACACAGTGGTTTGAGTTTGTGGATAGTACCTCGGGTGAAAGGCGCTATATACAGTTGTTGTTGTGGGGAATTCGAATCCTAAAATGATATCTTGCAAATGTAAGAGAACCTCACTTTATTCTTTGATGGAATATAGATGATAGAAGTACATTATAATGACTTTGCTTGGGTGCCTTTCTCCACCCAAGCTATCTCCTCTAATTCAATGCCAATTTTTTTGTGAAAATGCATTGCTGTTTAGTGATTTTTTCCTTTTGGAGATGATTGGATGGATAAACAAATGAATTATTAAATTGACTGTATATAGTGAATTGCAAAATAATTATTTATCTGATTCAAAATAACATTTATTGTGCATTAATAAAGATTCAATTGTGCTATATATATTACATTAGAAATAGAAAAATGTGTTGTATGTCAGGAAAACAGCTTCTAATTACTGATATTCTGACTTGTGCAACCAATACGATGGATTTCCATATTAGAACTACCAAATTCTGTTGTGCCGTGTTATATTGTAGGTCTGTATATAATGCAAGTGCACCTTGGACTCGCAGTACACCTGTAATGCACAACACTTCTGGCCTCCAGCTCTGTCTTCTTGTGCATAGTGTGCTGGCAGAGAAGGATTGTGTATCCCAAAAGCCATTCGAATCCGAGAATGATTATTGCTGCCCGCTCAGCGGGCTCCGGCCTGCTTCATGTATCCTGCCTCGCCTGCCCCACCGTTGGCGGGCGGGCCTTCTGCCACTCTGCCCTTTCCCTCTGGAACTCCATCCCGCAGTCCCTCTGCCTTGCCCCCTCCCTTGCCTCATTCAAGACCCAGTTCAAGACACTCCTCTTCAACCATGCTTTTGATCACCCTGCTTCTCCCCTGTCCTCCACCCCCCCAATCCCTAACCCCAGCTCGGGTCCGAAACACTGACTGTCCAGCTCCTTGGGACGTCCTCTCAACGTGAAAAACGCTATACAAATGTAATTTTGTTGTTGTGTCCAGCTAGAGCACACTTTAGTGACTCACTGCCAATGCTGACCAGTGATCATTTTTATAACGTGACTTTACAGGTCTGATTTTATGGACTCAAACCACTGTGTTATAATGGGTTCCAACTACTAAGATATCCATAGTTCTGATGACCCGTGTATCCAATATAAATTTACATTTATATAGCACCTTTCACTTTGGGGAGACAACAACAACAAATTATACTTGCGTAGCGCCCTTCACGTTGGAAAGACGTCCCAGCTGCAGAACAATCCATCTGAGCTGGGAGTGAGGGCTGAGGGGTTCGGGGGTTGGGGTAGGGGAAGATGGCTGGATGCATGATCAAAGAGGATGGTCTTGAGGTTCTATGTTTTTTGGTCTTGATAAGTAGATGCTCATTATTGTTTGATTTTGTTGTAATACCAGCCAATTTGGAGAAATTATCGAATTATTATTCTTAGCTTGTATTGTGCAATGTAACTGTTGGTAGAAAAGCTGATTTTTTAAAAATATATATATATTCACATTTGAGTATTCTTCCAAGACGTCCTGCCTTCTTTAAGTATTGACTTCTGGGACATTTATTAGTGTAGTGAGTTTGTTATTCTGGCACATCTGGTAACCTTGTTCGAACGCAGCTTAAATGATCAGATGGATGATTCTTCTATATGACAAGTATAAGGTATTTAAGTGGATGTTGTGAATAAGAATTCAGTTCTTTTCCAACAATCCACACAGACAATAAAGTACTATACTACATTTTTATAAATAATAATAGTTGCATTTAATAACACGCCTTATTTATTGTTTACTAACTGTTACCGTTGCAGCTTCGTTCGCAACCAAAGGGTCCGATATGGAATGTAGATTGACACACAGATAGACATTACATCTTTATCTATACTCATCTGGGAAGATTCCTACCGGAGGACTCGGCACTTTAAAAATGTAATTTTGTTGTTGTTGCCATGCTTAGCTTCGTCTGTGTTCTTTATTTTGTTACCGCCACTTGGCTATGTGCGTGCTCTTGACACAGGATGCCACAGCGCCACAGTCAGCCGGTACGGTAACTGCAGTATGTGGGTACATATGTGGATGCTCTGTGACACACGATGCCACAGCTCCACTTTGACTTGGCGGCCAACAGGTATAACTGCAGCAAAAACGCAAAACTGAAAATAACTCATGAACAATAGGAGATACCCGAAAACAAATATGTCCACGTCACTCCCAGATGCAAGACCTTTCCGATGAGATATAAATCATGTCTCTACGTCAATTGAGATCCTTCTTGAAGCGCAGGCAGACATTGTTGTTTTATTAGTATAGAAGAAGATGAAAGAAGAAGATAGAAGATTACATTGTCGAAACATCAGAAAGTCCTGTACATGAAGAAATTGTAGTGAATGTGTATTTGTAGACAAGATCAGCCGACAATTTATGCACCACAATGCTCCACAAATAGCCAAGAAGTGAACAACCAATTTTATATGGAGGATTGTTGGTTAGGGCACCAGGAGAAATTCCCTTCTCTTTTCGAATAGGGCCATAGGATCTTTAACATCCACCTGAAAAGGCAACATGGTTTTTCATTTAATTGCTCATCACATCTGTCAATGCAGGGCTCCCCTAGCACTGCACAGGAATATCAGCGTGAAGTATGAGCTCAAAGTCCCAAGCTGGCTTAAACTCATGTCTTCAGATTTCAAGGCTAGAATGCTTCAACCGACAGTCCGACATATACAGTAAGACTCGCATAAATCTTATTTTTATAAATCGTACATTCACTCGACTCACATTCAGTTTCCTATCAAAACTACTTAGATTTGTTTGCATTACTTGTATTAATCACCTCCTAACTCGTAACCTAGTTCCCCAACCCTCCATTACTCCCACATTTAGTGGCTGCGTTGAATCGCGGAAAATGACATCCTGACCAGTCGACAGTATGCACACTTACCAGCCTGATGCATTGAATCGCAGAAATCGTAGTCTTGATCTGTTGACACATTTGCAGAGGAAATTGATTTCTCGACATTCAATGCGATTCAAACGTTTGCTGGTAAGTGCACATAAGTGTCGACCGTGTGATTCAATGCGTCAAGACTTTTAAATATTTAAATAGTTGCTGGGAAATGGCAGGCAATAATATTAAGGAAGAGGAATTAGAAAATATACTTGTGTATCTGTTCATATATCTCTGCCAAGAAACTATTAGCTCAGTGTTTTCTACCATAATTGGTTGTTTGTAGGTAATATCATGTTAATATGTCCACCTAATATTTTGGAGCATTAGGTATACAAGACAGAATATTGAAATTCCCAAATTTGTAAACTTTTTACTGTACTTGTTGATGTTGGTATGTTAATACAATTAAAGGCATTATTTCTTAATTTTTTAATATGATATTTGATAATGTTTTACATTTCCTATCAATATAGTGACGGAAGTGTTTCAAGCATCATAGAGCACATCATCCATCTCTTCAGGTGCAGGGGATATTTTCTTTCCTCTCCTTTCCAAAGCGGTTTCTCCATTTATACACTTTATTTTCAGCAGTATTTAGGCGATGGTAGTGATGGACAGAACATATGTACTTAGCCTTTTAGTGCTAGAGTAATTGTATTGTTCTCTGATTACTTCACTGATTTTTCTCTTTGAATACTCTGCTTTTCATTTCTAGGAAGATGTACAGGCCGGTTTTCATCTTGATCCATCTCTGAAGGAGGTCGACTTCAATCCATCATATGAAACCATGTTTGCACCAGAGGTAAGCAGTCTTACATTTTGGTAAATTGCTTCTGTTCAGTCTTCAATCCTAATGTAGTATCGTTGTAATTATTATGTGATGGAAGAGAGTCTTACCGAGTGAGATTTTATTGCCTGTGTTACTTTGATTCTAATTCTACAATGCGAAATTGTATTTTTTGGGTGGGGTGGGGGATTCTCAGTAAAGGTTTTGCCTGGATCTAGCCTGCATTTGCTGGGATGTATTTGGGCCTTGTGAGCAATACAGGGTAAAGCTATCAAATGCACGGATTATTAAAACATGTATAACGTGTAACTGTAGAAGTGTTTTGAATGATTCTTCTGCAGTAACAGTGGATGAATTTTGTACTTTTGAAAAACTGTTAGGCATTTTATAATTAATTTCAGACCATTTGAATGGAGCATCAATTTATAGTCCATGCCATGAAATAGAAAATTGTAAATATTTGTATGAAGCATGATTGCTGCTATTTTTGACTTATTGGGTTATCAGTAGTTGGACTCCCAATACAGTAAGCCTTCCATATTACCAAGTTCTGAAATCTGCTTCTTTGGAAATCATAGAATCATAGAACCGTACAGCACAGAAAGAGGCCATTCGGCCCATCGCGTCTGTACCAGCTCCTAAAAGAGCAATCCAGCTCAATCCCACTGGACCGCTTTCTATCCATAGTCCTGCAATCCTGTCCTCCTCAAATACCCATCTACTTCTTTTTTAAAAGTTGTTATTGAATCGGTTTCCACCAGCCTTTCAGGTAATGCATTTCAGATACGAAAAACTCGCTGGGTGAAAAAAATTTCCTAACCTCCCCTCTGTTTCTTTTAACAACTATCTTAAATCGGTGTCCTTAGGTTACTGATCCACCTGCCAGTGGAAACAGTTTTTCCCAGTTCAACCTATCAAATCCTCTCATGATCTTGAAAACCTCTTAATCTTCTCTGCTGTAGGGAGAATGATCCTAGTTTTGCTAATCTCTCCTCATAACTAAGGTCCTTCATTCCTGGTACCATCTTGATAAACCTTCTTTGCACCCTCTTCAATGCCCTAACATCTTTCCTAAAGTGCGGTGCCCAGAACTGAACGCAGTACTCCAACTGAGGCCTAACCAGCATTTTATAAATATTCAACGTAACCTCCTGACTTACAATTCTGTGCCGCTATGTATAAAACGTAGCATCCCGTATGCTTTTTTAACAGCTTTATCTACCTGTCTGCCACCTTCAGAGATTTGCTTATGTGGACCCCCAGGTTTCTCTGTTCATTTGCCCCCTTTAAGATTGTACCATCAGCTTATACTGCCTCTCTTCATTCTTCCTACCAAAATGTAACACCGCATTTCTCCACATTAAACCTCATCTGTTACATTTCTGCCTATTTTACCAATCTGTCTCAGTCCTCTTGGAGACTGGTGCTATCCTCTTCACCATTAACAACAACAACAAGATTTCATTTATAGAGCGCCTTTCACGACGGGAGGACGTCCCAAGGCGCTGGACAGTTGGGTCGGGATCCGAGCAGGGGGGAAATGGTCAAGGTGAGGGGAGAGAAGGTAGGGAGCGAGGAGGGGGTAGAGAGTCGAGAGAGGAGCTGAAGGCTCGGTTGAAGAGAAAGGTCTTGAGACCGGCCTTGAAGGAGGAAAGGGAGGAAGCGGCGAAGGCACTGGGGGATAGAGTTCCAGAGCCTCGGGGCTGAGAGGCTGAAGGCCCGACCACCGATGGTAGGGCGGTTAGGGCGGAGGATGTGGAGCAGACCGGAGCCAGAAGAATGGAGGGTACAGGCAGGTACTTTTGCTACTACTTTTCCTAGCTTAGTATCGTCTGCAAATTTGGAAATTGTGTTCCCTATATCCAGGTCCAGATCATTAATATAGATCAGAAAGAGCAGTGGTCCCAATACCGACCCCTAAGGGACACTACTACACACCTCCCTCCAGTCAGAAAAGCAACCGTTTACTACCACTCTCTGCTTTCTGTTTCCTAGCGAGTTCTGGATCCATGTTGTCACAGTCCCTTTAATACCGTGGCTTCTATTTTGTTCATAAGTCTCTTATGTGGCACTTTGTCAAATGCCTTTTGAAAATCTAGATAAGCTACGTCTACTGCACTACCTTCATCCACCCTCATAGTCACTTCATCAAAATAATTCTATTAGGTTTGTCAAACACGATCTGCCTTTAGCAAATCCATGTTGATTGTCCTTTATTAAACGATATTTTTCTAAGTGAGAATTTATATTGTCCCGGATTATAATCTCCAGAAGTTTCCCTACTCCTGATGTTAGGCTGATTGGCCTGTAGTTCTCAGGTTTATCCTTCTGCCCCTTTTTGTACAGGGGAGTAACATTTGCAACCCTCCAGTCCTTTGGCACCACTCCAGTGTCCAAAGAGGATTGAAAGATTGTGACCAGAGCCTCCGTTATTTCCACCCTCGCTTCCCTCAGTAACCTAGGATGCATCCCGTCCGGACCAGGTGACTTATCTATGTTGAGCACCAACAACCTTTTTAATATTTTTATCATATCCAATTTCTGTTCACACACCTGCGATATTGTGGCATTGGTTGCATCATCTTCTTTTGTGAAGACAGTTGCAAAGTACTTACTTAGTTCATCAGCCATGCCCTCTGCCTCAACAAGAAGATTTCCACATGGGTGTTTGTTACTGTCAGTGAGGGGGGTGTTTGTTGCTGTCAGTGGGGGGGGGGGGTGTCACTGTCAGTGGGGGGTGGGGGGGGTGTCAGTAGGGGGGGTGTTACTGTCTGCGTGGGAGGGGGGTTGTTACTGTCTGAGTGGGGGGGGGTTGTTACTGTCTGAGTTGGGGGGGGGGTTGTTACTGTCTGAGTGAGGGGTGGGTGGGTTTGTTACTGTCAGTGGGGTGGGGAGGTGTTTGACACTGTCAGGTGGCCTCTGCAGTCATTTCTATAATTTTTAACAATTGTTGTGTGTGACATGGACACATCACATGATATAAACTGAAAAAAATCACTAAAATATTGTTGTCCTCAGAAATTATCAAAATGATCCATTACCTCATGTTGCCTCATCAACTGACTCTTCATGCTGAAAAGACCTTTATTGTACTCGAGAAGTACTACACCTTGCAGTGTATCCTGTATTTGCATATTAAGGCGTATTTACGTGATACGGTGTATATCAAATGCAAGGATTATTATCATTATCATTCAAATGGCTTTCTGCACATCTATTCTTCTGAAAGCCTATAGCGTTCTCCAGTTGAATCATGTGGTGTAATAACATTAAAAACTCCATAAGGCTCCTGCGGCTGTTATCATGTGTATGTGATTAAAATTAGCATTCATTAAAAGTCTGTTTTGCCCTACAAATTGTAATTTTGCTGAATTATAATACCTTGCAATACAAATTAAAAATTATATTGAGCCCTTAACATCAGGAAGACTCCCCCAAGGCACTTGACATTCATGGTTTGGCACTTGAGCTGGGGGTGGGAGCCAAGGCGTTGGGCAGAAGAAAGATGACCGAAGGTACGGTCAAAGAGGTCTTCAGATGGACCTTGAAATTACGAGCATATTTAAAAGTTGCTGCAACCTTAACCATAATTCATATTTTCACTTTAATTCACTTGTCTTTGAGCTCATTAAGGTTCTGGGGAGCAACCCACATTTCTATTTTGGGCATTCAGTATAGGTTAATTATAATTAGAAAAGTTAACCATAACGTACTTGACACTGTCATGTTGGATATAACTGTTTGTGCTTCATTCCAGCTTGGTCCAGTAAATCCCTTTAGAACACAGCAGATGGCTGCTCCCAGAAATACGCTATCTGGGTTTGCTGAGCCCGCCCATATCAATGATTTCATGTTTGAGCAGCAGCGGAGGACCTTTCATACTTACGGTAAGCTTCCCTTTGTTGTAATTTTTCAAAAAAGAAGAATTGTTCACGAAAGAGGTGTTGGCTCTTGGATTATAATATTTAAGGCTTTTGTCCATACTGTTCATTGTGAACTGCTCTACAGCACTGCTATATTAATGGGGATTATCTTCAGAAATATCACAATGTTCTTAAATATATCTTATTTCCACACCAGGGGCAATAGCACCCATAACAGTAGGAAAATTGTGTAACCGAACAGCCACTTCAGGGAATAATGCCCCTCTCTACCTTTATACCAGCTTAAAACACAGCTCTTCAACTGGTGCTATGGTCACTCTCACCATCCCAGCTCAGCATCCACTGGGAATTGCTCCGAGATGTTATCCTATGTGAACGGTGCTTTATAAATGAAAATTGTTGTCAATTAAAAGCACACTTTTTTATTTGGGGAGAGAAATTAGCTGGTGGAGAATATTAAGCTTTTCAGTACAATAATGTTCGGCACAAGTCATACAGTTAACTGTTTGCATAATTTTATTGTCACTTTGTAAAAGCAGATGAATGAAAAAGGCTTAAAGTTTGTTGATGTCTGTGTCCCTTAAGTGTGTGATGGATCATACTCATCAGCACTTAATGTAAGTTCAGAATGTTTTGGTAATAACTGGTTTGGCCACTAAGCTGTGCTGTTTTCAAAAATTTAAATATAGTATGTACAAATGTTAACTCAGGGCTGTGCTAGCCATGTTAATTTTGGTTTGTCAAATTAAGGTTACAATCTTGAACTTATTTCTGAAGTCTTGATTCTTTTCACATTTCATAAGTGGCAAGAAATATATTTTCGAACATCATCAAAATGCAACAAGTAATCTGTCACACACAGAGTGCTGAATATGGAGATCTTAAACACAATATTTGAAATCGGATGCATTGTGCTAATTTGCAATTTATAGTTTTGTACTTTTCAGCTTTTTGTCTGAAAACAATTTGCTGGCTACAATTCTGACTTCCTGTTTACAATCGTATGAGGCATGAGATCAGTGTTAAAATCCAATGGATTAATGCTGCTCATTTTATTGGTTTTGGGCCAGTTAAATTAATGAAGTTATTTCAGCCCTAATGGGTCTGAAATTTAAAATGATGAGTTTGTATATAAGATGCATTATATTCCGCTCCTAAACTACGAGAAGGGGATGTACAGATGTATTCAACTTTTGTTTTATTCACTAGGGTTAGTGGAAATTGATTTAATTTTTTAGATTTTTGATAGATAATATTCACACTTTTTTAACTGATTTGTATCTTTCTGATAATTTTCGAACTTGGAGGACACAAAATATAGAGAAATCAACAATTGTCATAATCATTTATCCAAATTTATTGTTTGTGTAAGTTGAAATTGCAGCAATGTTTGACCTCATGCACTTGTCAAAAGATATTGAGTAGTAAACCGTCATTTTATGTTTTCCAAACAAGTAACGACTTTACTAGTACCAGTAAACATGCTATGTAGACAAGTAAGTGGAGTCCTGTAGCTCAGTGGTTAGAGCACTCGCTTTGCAAGCGAGAGACCTGAGTTCAATTCCAGGCACAGGGCGAAACCTTGGGCAAGTTTCCTTACTCCACACAGAGCCTAATAATAATCCCTCCAAAAAAACAAAACAATAATAAATTGGTCATTTTCAATCTACGACTGTTTGTGGGACATTGCTGTGCGCAATTGGCTGCCACATTCGCCCACAAATATACAGTCAGTCAATTCACTTTACAGTGTGTTCTGTGAAGCGCTTTGGGACGTCCTCCCGATGTGAAAAGTGCTATATCAAATGCAAGGTTTATTATTATTATTATTAAGAGGCATGTCATCTTATACAGACCAGGTAGGAGCCATACCATCTTATGCTAACATTACATTCAGTAAATCTGTTGCAGAGAGGCACCCAGCCGTTTGATGCTAAGCACACAAGTAGGCAGACATTTTAAGCAGACAAGTAAAAAAGGCATGTCATCTTATGCAGATATTATGGTATCTCACTGGGCCATCTACAACAATAACTTGCACATATATAGCACCCTTCGGGTAGGATAATGTCTTTGAGTGCTGAATAATGACTGGGTGGACACCGAGTAAGGGAGAAGTTGACCTAAGTACGTTCGAATAGGTAGGTTTTAAGCAGAATTTAAGTACAGAGAGGGAGTGAGGAGTGGGTTAGAGAGGGAGTTCCAGAGTTTAGGAACAGAGTTACTGAAGGCTCGGACACCAATGATGAGAGAAAGTACATCATTGGTTACATTGCTTTTTCAGTGCTATGGGCAGAGCAGGAACCAGCCTGGATGGGCGTGAGAAGGAAATGGGGGGAATTAAATTGAGTGGCAAACATGTTCCTGTACTTTAGATTTGAAGGGCAGGTTGGAGATTTAACATCAAAAGGAGAGAGTGATACAGTATTTCTGTATCCAAAGTTTTTGACATTTACATAGTTATAATAATAAAACATTATTTTCATCATCACTTTTCTTTTCAGTAAGTAGTGGAATATTTAATTATTTGATAGACCCAGCAGACAGTTCTCGAAATGTGACATTATGTCCTTAATTGTAGTATGAAATGTTATTCCACTGTCCAATGGAGTTTTCAGAGAGACATAAGTGATGTATGTCTTGAAATGTTCCAAATTGGCTGAATGCCCTTTCAGTGGAATGAATTTCACTTCAAAATTCAAGTGCTGTTACACTTTCATTGTTGGGCACATCCACGAGCCTTGTAGATATATCAAAATCGTGCTTGAATTCTTTATTGGAAAGAAAAACGTACTTGGTAACATTGCTTGACATCTGATTCTTGAAAATGTATCAGATATTCTGCAATTGGTCCGCGGAGTCCCTCAGAAACATTGCTGGCTTTGGCTATCTTATTTTGGACCGCATTTATGAAGCCTACATTATATATGACAGGATTGCCTTTTGAAGCCCATTGTCTTGACTTGCACGTCCTTCACAGCATTTTTGTAGGCAGCAGCAATTTTGAGGTCACAGTTAACCAATGTTTTACTGAAATGTATCAGCGGTGCTTTAATTTCCACCTGCAATTGTACCTGTTGGAATTTTCCCAAATGTACACATAGTAAAGATGACTTGCAATGTAGCTCTCTCGACTTTCGAACAGCTTTGACCATAAACCATTGTTTCTTTGTCTTCTTGAAGTGGTTGCATCCTCTTTATTGAGGAAGTTTGTAACAATGTTGTATTGCTCATGGATGAATGTTGATGCCTCAAGCTAAGAAAACCAGCATGATGGCACACATTTGTAATTTGGTTACACAGACTTCGAAGAACATGCTTCAATTATCTGTGCTTCAGTATTGCAGGAAAATGGACCTCATATCGTTGATATCTTAGAACTCATCAATTTTAATTGTGTGATCAATGGCTACATGAACAAGATGTAGGTTTTGATACAGCTCTTGTAAGCCCTATACTGAGCATTGCATGTACATTGCAGAATCACTGTTGTTTGACACAACATTTTTGCATGTTAGTTGTTCATCCGCAATACATCTCGAATCCACACAGTAATGACACTCGCTTTTTCACTGGGGAAGAATAGATCATTTCAACAGGATTGTGTTTATTGGTTTATTTTTTCCACTGTAATACATTAATTGCTCATTGCCCTCCAGTGTCTGGGCTCTTCATCGATTTACTAGATAGAATTTCTCATCAATGAAGTGATCCTGAATTTCTGCTTGATGGCGAGGGAAAACTTCTGGAAAATGTTTATCTTGTAATTGACAACATTCCATGCAAGTACGTGCTGTTGATGTATACTTGAAAAGCATAGCGAATAGGAAGCTGGAGCCACAAACACCATTCATTGGAATTACCACAAACAACAAAGCTCACCAGGTTGGGCGGAAAATATGCTTCTTCCTTTGTTTGTCTCATTCTTCCCGTACAGGCTTCTATTGAAGGCTGGGTGAATTTATTTTAACCTTTTAGTTTCAAAGAGTCCTATTATTCCCACGTTCAGCAGTATGGTTTGGCTGCCATGTTTTACAGACTATTCAGATTATGCTTTACTGCAAAATTGTCTCTTTCCAGTCTCCATCGTCTTTTCACTGTTTTAATTTTAAAGTCACTGAATCAATTGGACACCTGTTTCTCATCCTCTGAATGTGTCCAAACATATGTTTTTATCGGACACACTGGTCTTGCAAGACATTGGGTTTCCTCTCCTGCCTCAGTAAAAAAAAAAGTGTATTTCAGGCACTTGGTAGGACAATCTCACTGTAAGATTGTGTTTTAAGCTCTTCCTTTTCTCTTTGCTTATCTTTTACCCACTTTCTGATGTTTCTAAGCTCTAGCTGATTTTAATTTATTTTGGTTACGTCTTTGCCAGCCTGCATGGTTGTAGAATCGATATTTAGCGATGATAATATATTTGATTCAGAATGTGGAAGGAACATAGGAAAAATGCTAAATATCAATGTTTGTCGATGTTTATCAAATCTAGGCAGGCCTATTCATGACAATTAATTTTGATAGTATTTCTGCGGTCTCGATGTTGTGGAACATCTATATATGAGCTACAATACCATTTTGATAACTGTTTTCTTTGCACTGATTATTTTGCTTTGAAAACTAAATTCATCTCTGATTTTTTGGTGATTCATGATTGTGAAAAACCACGCCAACTATTAGACCTCCTCCATTAGGAACACTTGCCTTTGAGGGACAGGCAACAATGCCACTTCTCAATGAGAACTTCAGATTGCCCTTAACCAGCTGTATTGACTGCAGTTGATCTGGTTTAAAATATCAATGTTCTCTTCAGCCTCAAAAGATGTGTTGTCGAGAACCTTATAAAATACTAAATAATTAGAGAAAGTAAACTATGAATGTTCAGATACTCATTCTGATCTGCCACAACAACAGGATCAGAGGTTCCAGGTTCTTTTAGCACAGACACCAGCAAGTATTTCTTTGCGTAGAAGGTAATCAACACCTGGAATGGATTACCAGTAAGGCCGGCAGAGGCCAAGACACTGGACTTATTCAAGAAACCACAATACAATAATGGGACAATGGTAGAGCGGATATTTTGGAATGCCGGGATCAAATGGGCCATCGGGAATCTTGTAAATTAATTTAGTAATAAATGTGTGTTTTCCCTCCCCACTAGCAGAAAAAAAAGAATGTAAAAAAGGTTGCAAATCAAATGGACAATAACAAATTATATTTGTATAGAGTTTTTCACATCTGGTCAGTCAAGGATATGCACCTGAGCTGAGGGTTGGTATCAGGAGGGGTGGAGGGCAGGGAGGTGGGCACCGAAAACATGGTGGAAGAGGAAGGTCTTGAGTCTGACGTTGAAGGAAGCAAGGGAAGGAGCAAGATGATGGGACTGTGGGATGGAGTTCCAAAGGGTGGGGCTGAAGACTTAACTGTCAATGGTGGGGCGGGCAGGGAACATGGAGCAGGCCAGAGTCTGCCAAGCGGAGGGAGTAGACAGGCTGATATGGGGTTAGCAGCTCTCCGAGGTAGGAGGCTGTGGAGGGCTTTGAAAGCGAGGACGAGGATTTTGACCTCGATCCTCAAGGGAATGAGGAGCCAGTGGATCCGGGTGAGGATCAGGATGATGGGTTCACGGAGCCTGGTACAGGAGAGGACACACGCTGCAGAGTTCTGAATAGTCTGCTGCTTATGCAGTTGGGAAGGCCGACAAGCAGAGAGTTAGCATAAACAAGCCTGTTTGAATGTACTCCTAAACAACTGTGACCTACAGTTTACTCATGAGTTTGTCTTATCACTCATGGTTGATGTGACGTGAAAAAATACAAATCCTATTACACAGCTCTCTGTCTTGTCAATATATTTCCAGCTATCAGCTAAGGCAATGGAGGTAGGTATTCCTCGGTTGTCTTTTGGTATGAAGAAACATCTGTCTTTTAAATGTTTTAGTAAACCTAATGGCAACAACAGTGGAACAATATGAATACAGTATATGCATGAAATCTTTGACCACCATTTTTTTGATACACTTGATTTAAGATGAATCTTTTTATCTTTACTGCAGAATCCATATCAGCCATTAACTAATGTTTGCTTACGGATATTTTAACAATGATCTGAGTTATTGGGTTATTCTGATTGTCAGTCTATGCCTTCAGCAGGTTGAATTAGATCAGCTCAGTTATTTATACACCCACATTTGCCCTTATGAGAGCGTGGTTAATGGATATTCCAGAGGAGACTTCCTTTATTCAAGAATTATTATCAAATGACATAGAGAATCTCATGTAATTCGAGATGCTCTGCAGAGAAACAAACCAGTGAATGTATCTAAATGCATATTTTTCCTTTTAAAGGTCTGTCTGCTAGTTTGGGCACAAATTAGCAGTACATAAAGTGGATTTGAAGAAAGTCGACAGGTTTTTGAAAGTCTGTTTCTCAGAAATTATGCATTAGCGAGGGAGCAAATGACAATTGTTCATGTATTACTTATAAGCAGGGGAAGAGAGAAATGATTTTATGCCCAGAGAGTTATGTAATTAAAAAGACTAAGATCACTTGACTAATCCTGTGATTAATAGTTTGATATCTCTTCTGTCTGTCTTTGTGGTTATTCCTCTTCCATCTTTCAATTTTATACTGTATTTCTTGTTATTCATACCTGTGTTCCTTTTGTACATTTGATATTGTTGCCAGTCCATTCCTTCCAACGAAGTATAAAAATCTAATAGTAACTAATCAAACTTGCAAGGTTAGGCTATCATTCAGAAAATGTAGAACTTGGGAATCGGACACAGAGGGCAAGGAATTGGATCAGTGGTTATCTCTGCAGTTCTTTGAAACTGAGCAGTAACATCAAAAAAAAGAGCACGTGAGAAATTGCTCTTGCAGAAAAAGTAATATCAGATCTTGATCTGTGGTTGGGAAAAACAATGGACCTGGGATCTCTTCCTTGCTTGGCTCCACCCAAGATGCTACCCTGTGTGAAGGGCATTATATAAATGCAAGTTGTTGTTCCTCTGTAGGGAGTGTTCCAGACCAATGGCTGCAGAATTGATAGATTTTGTAAAATAATAATAATCCTTGCATTTAATATATAGCGCCTGATCACGTCATTGAGACATCTCAAAGCGCTTCACAAAATGTACTGTAAAGCGTAGTGACTATGTTTTTGTGGGCGAAATGCGGCAGCCAATTGTGCACAGCAAAATCCGACAAACAGCCATGGAGTAAATGACCAATTTTTAAAAAATTAGATGTCGCAGTGAAGGGGGGAGGTCGCCTCTGGGTACTGGGGTTACTGAGTCAGGATGCATTCTCCTCCCTCTTCAGCCGTCTTTCTCTGGAAAATAATTTTCACAAAAAAAGGAAAAAGCAGCTTTAACCCTTCATGAATGTATTTTGCAATGACTTCGATTCCCTCCAAAACACTTTTTTTTAAAAAACTTAGCTTAATTCAAAGGTACTAGGAAATCTCCCATGTTACTTAATTTTGCACAGTTCCCGATTTCTACACTATTACATTTAACGTTCAAAATCTACAGGGAAATAATTTTTCAGATGTCAATCTTTTTTAAAACAAAATTGTAAAACGTGATTTCTTTTGGGGTTAACAGCTGGAATCTCCCAGTAAGGATGCACGCCGGTGCCACAAATGGCTTCTGAAGTTTATTTCATAAAAATATTTAAAAGAGAATTGGATAAATACAATATGAGCCAATTTTCATATGCAAATTGAAGTCCATAAGATCTCAACTAGTGCTATAACTGGCTTGATTTGGGCTTTCTGGATTCACTGGCTTGCATGCAGAAAGACAACTGATGCAAACTGGCACGCTCGTTTTTAATTTTGTTGAGTAAGTAAATGTTGGAAACCACTCTCCAGTTGTGCTATAAGTGAATCCGTGTTATATAACGGTTCTACTGTACTCAAGGGGATAATAACATTGAAGTGTGTGGGGGAATGGGACTAGAATATATAAATCCAGTGCTGGAGCTACCTCAAGCACAAACACAAAGAGCCAAATAGACTCCTTGTGATCCAGGTTGCTGACCAAGGACATGGTTAGCAAGATTTTTCTCCCCCTCCCCCCCCCACTTTCTTCTTGCCATACAGTTTGAATTATTTTTGCTTATCTTTTGTCAAGATTACTCCTGATAAATTGGATCAAAGATCAAAGTATTCAGTATCTCCCAATGAGAGAAATTAAATCCTCCATAACCAAGTGCTATAGTGCCTGGCCCAAAGTATACCACACAAATCCAGTACTACAGTTTATTGGTCCATCTGTCTTGAAAGGAACATTTTCGCTTAATGTGAATACTGATCATAGACCTGTACATTTTCCTTTATTTTAAACAAGCAAAAAAGGTTTTTTAAACAATTTAAATGAAAAAAATCTGGTTCTCTCAACCTGAGCCTTGTAATTAGACAGCTGTACCTCAGTCTGTTAGTTGCATATTACACATGTCTTACAATTATCTTGATGGAGTACTGCACATTTTCATGCCTTTATTTACTCAGTTATCTGCCCAGAAGTTGTATTAAAGAGCTAAATTTCACAACAGTGAACCAAAGTAGTGTAAGGCTCGCTGCAGTGGAATCTCTAGACACCTGTACGTTTTTAAAAAAAGCTGTGGTCATTCTTTCATGTTCATTAAAATTGTCAAAATAACATTGTAACATTGCTACATTAATATAGAATTGCATGGAACATTACAATATGGAAACAAATCATTCAGCCCAAATACTTCATTCTGGTGTTAATGAGCCTCCAACCACCTGATTACCTCTCCCAAAGCCCTCTATTCCCTTCTGTCGCATGTATGCATGAACTGAGAATTTGATCAATTAAACCCAGAACAATACTTTCATATACTTTAAGGCAGCAGGTGAAGATGACACATGTTTTGTGCATGTTTCCATTTCACAAACCAGCCGCCCTTATAGTTTCTGAGTGAGATTGTTATATAGTTAGTTTCAAATTATAGGCAGATGGTTCTTGTGGACCCCGTTAGTAATGGGGTTGTTACTGCCCAAACCGTTTTCAGTTAGTTGCCTTACATTTGGCAGCATTCTCTTTTTGGACTTTTCAGGGTTATATTCAACCGCAAAGTGAGAAAGAGTGTGTGCTTCTCCTCAGTCCTAATTTCCTGGGCATGTTATGTGCTTTTGAAAGTATCTTGATTCCAATGAAGGGACTCTGCCATTCTGTGATGCCATGTTACAATACCTGTAAAATTGTAAGTAGCAACTAATGTGGCAATTTGATGGGCTAAAAGAACATTTACATCTAAATAGTTTATGCTTCCAATTGTAATAACTTGATTTAATAGGTTGTCTTTGAATGGTACTTTCTTTACAATGAGTGTGCCTCTAAATTGTTTTCATATTTTTCTAACTTTAGGGTATGCTTTAGATCCAACTGTTGACCGCAGTGAAGTACCTGGAGGAGATACGTATATTGGTAGCGTGGAAGAGGCTGAGAAAAATCAAGGTAAAAAACTTCCTTTCAAAATGTTAGCATTTTAATTTCAAAAATATGTTTTTATATCTGATATTTGACCTCAATTTTGCATTTGTTTTTGATGCTCAGGGCAATCTGTAACAATTTCCAGATCATTGGAATTTTAGAAATATGAATCCATATAAGACGTAAACGTAAAATTAAGTCTGTAAACTACCATCTGCAGGCAGAATATTCCAGAATTTAAAGACCACTACAAACAGCAGTGCTTAGTATCTATTTACCTCTTCATCCCAACTCATTCTTTGTATAGATTTGCAATTCACCACATAAATAACACATCAGTGACAGAGACCAAATCGAGAATAAAGCTGTCTTGGGGTATGGAAGCAACAATTTTACTTATTGAAGGTTTTAGACCCAGACAAGAGCAGTAAAATTAAGTAAGACAACTGGGGAAGCCAATTTCTGTTTTTTTTAAAGAAAGTTTATTGAAGAAGTAAATAGCTAGAGGGTTGGTCGCAGATTCAGGATGTAGTTGGTGAGTATTATTTTTCACTGTTGGTTAGTTTAAAATGTACTTGCTAGTTGATCCCATTAGCACTGCTACTAGATGCATTCTTCATGAAGGTAGTGTCTTACAGACTTTGATTGATGATATTTAATGTGTTTAATTTGGCATCATCTTGGTGCATCTCTATAGAGATAATGCTTGGCAAATGCAGACCTGGTAATCTGACAGCAGAATCTAATTTGAGTTTATAAGACAGTCTCTGATAGAGATGCATCATATCAGCTAAATGAGAGACTATTAGCACGCTCTATCTAATCTTGTCTTCCACCAGTGTTGGAGATTTGCACTTGAGGCTGTATAACTACTTTTTTTTAAGTTTGGGATCTTATGAAATGAATATGTATTTCCTACCCTTAGTTCATAATCTGTACTGCAAGGATGTTGTAAAGAGGCTTCTTTCTCCTAATGGCTCAACACATTTATTTAGTGAGTAGTCGAGACTGGAAAACTCCAGGTTAGATTCTTAATTTGTTTCAGTTAAAAATGCCCTTGGAGGTGAGAAAATTGACAAGAACGGAAAGGATGTTGAATATTTTGAGTGCTATTAGAAAAGTGCCTCTGAGCATACCTGAAGATAAATTTATTTATTATGAAACTGTGCAGGACTTACAGTGTTTGAATCCGGGAAAAAGAAAATAGAAAAACGAAAGAAATTGAAAGATTCAAACCCAGCAAATATTGAAGGTTTTCAGGGCCCTTGGGCGAAGTTTGTGGATGAAAAAGATGTGGCCAAACCATCAGAGGTCAGTTTTTCAGTGTATTTAGTGCTCAAGATGATAGAAACCTATTTAATTATTGAGAGACTCACATGCTATTCAGTAAAATGTTCAGAGAATAAATATTTGGACATTCTTGTTTACATTAATTATACCAGTGCTGATAACTGTCTTTTGTGAATACCAGTCTTTCACTTCTTCAGCATTAGTACAGATGTTTGCCTGGACGTGGGTGATGTGTTAAACATTCTGGAGATTTTACTGAGTGTTGCTGAAGTAGAATTCAGTGTTTGGGTGACCATGGATGTATTTCCAATCAGCAATTTGTCAAAATAAACTTTAAAATATTTAAAATAAATTACGATTAATTTATATTCTGTTTTTCTTTGTGAACATATGTTTTAAAATTCAGTACTGTTTAAATCATTGAGGAAATTGGATTGAAGATGTTATTGAGTTTTGTTATGTTAAGGAGCTAAATTACTATGGTGCAGCCTGATTATTCATAACACTTTACTACTTCTGATGTTAGCTCGGTTTCCTCATTCATATTATTGTGCGGAGAAATTTCTTCTTAAGAGTTTCCCCCTTAATCTGCAAAGACAATACAACGTATTGCAAACAAAAAATATGTTTACAAATTAAGGATTAAGAGAAAGTTATTACAAATGTTATTCAAGGCAATATTAGCGGTTTTAATTTGCTAGAGCAGTGAACGTCCACTGCACTACCTGTTAGGGCTTTGGATTCCAAGGTTTACAAGAGGTCGGTATTGGGACCACTGCTGTTTTTGATCTATATAAATGACCTGGACATGGGTATAGGCAGTACAATTTCCAAGTGAAGGAACAGACAGACCTGGGGTTCATATAAGTAAATCTTTGAAGGTGGCAGTACAGGTAGATAAAGCTGTTAAAAAAGCACATGGGATACTAGACTTTATAAATAGGGGCATAGAATACAAAAGTCAGGAAGTTATAAAACACTGGTTAGGCCTCAGCTAGAGACTGTGTTCAGTTCTGGACACCACACTTTAGGAAGGATGTCAAGGCATTGGGGAGGGTGCAAAGGAGATTTACCGGATGGTACCAGGAATGAGGGACTTCAGTTATCAGGAGAGGCGAGAGAAGCGAGGATTATTCTCCTTGGAGCAGAGAAGGTTAAGAGGAGACTTAATAGAAGTTTTTAAAATTATGAGGGGGTTCGAGAGGGTGAACAAAGAGAAACTATTTCCACTGGCGGATGGGTCAGTAACCCGAGGACACCAATTTAAAATAGTTGTGAAAAGAAACAGAGGAGAGGTGAGGAGAATTTTTTTTCGAACAGCGAGTTGTTCAGATCTGGAATGCATTGCCTGAAAGGGTGGTTGAAGCCGATTTGGTAACAACTTTCAAGAGTGAAGTAGATAATTATTTGGGAGTACAAGATTGCAGGACTATGGGGAGAGAGCGGGGAAGTGGGATTGATTTGGATAGCCCTTTTCAAAGAGCCGGTACAGACACGATGGGCTGTATGGCCTCCTCCTGTGCTGTATAATTCTATTCTATAAAGAGCTGGTTGGGAAGAATCCCTGCCCTGTATGACCAGTCTGCTTCTCTTAAGTCCTACCAATGAGCAAAGCTAGTTGGGATGTCAGTAGCAGTAGTAATAATAATAATAGTAATAATAATCCTTGCATTTGATATAGCGCTTTTCACGTCTTCTAGGCGTCTCAAAGCGCTTTGCAGAATATGCTGCAAAGTGAATTGACTGTATATTTGTGGGCGAAATGCGGCAGCCAATTGTGCACCGCAGTGTCTCACAAACAGTCGTGGATTGAAAATGGCCAATTATTATTGTTTTGTTTTTTTGGAGGGATTATTATTAGGAGTGTGGAGTAAGGAAACTTGCCCAAGGTTTTGCCCTGCCTGGAATTGAACCCAGGTCTCTCACTTGCAAAGCGAGTGCTCTAACTGCTGAGCTACAGGATTCCAATACTGGAGTACTGTGGACCCACCTGACTCAGGAACTGGACTACCAAGACCACCAGATAAGTTTGACATTCTCTTGGCATGTCACCTAGGAGCCAGTTCAGCTTAAAGGAGATTCTGCTTACCTCCCCCTTCCTCCTGGTGGATAGTCCACTTTTCTTCTAATGTAGGATGTTCTCTTTATTGTATTTTCTCGCTTGAGGGAACGGAAAAGATTACCTACTGCTCTTGGACTGGCCATTAGGGGGTGTATGTGAGTAACCTAGCGTAAACCATAGGCACATACGTTGTCAGTTTTTATTGTTTGGTCAGCTGAATGTCTGACACATCAGGAAACCCCCAAAAGGCCAGTTGCCAGTTCCTTGTTGGCAAAATGTATGTGAATTTGCGTTTATGGGAATCATGAGAGCAAACCTGCTGGTACCAATTGAAGCACAAATGCGCTATATACCATCATACCCTGCTAAATTAATTCATTTGTATATAAAATAATTAATTTCCCCAAAGACATAAATACTGATTTGTTTCTAAGACATGATAAGGACCTATATTAAATGCAAGCATTATTATTATTGTTATTAAATAGCCTGTTTTAATTGGGATTCCAAATGTGGCTTGAATACCTGCTACTTTATTTACAGAAGGAGATACTCTGAAAATGTAATCTAATTTTGAGTGATTCAGAAGACTGTTTTGAACTTCACACTTTCAAGTGATTTACATTGTCTAGCCTGACACTCCAATGCAGTTCGGGGAGCATTACATTGTTGGATGTGCCGTCATTTAGGTTAGAAGTTAAACCAAGATCCCATCTGCCTATTTAAGTGATGTTAAAGATCTCATGGCACTATTCCATAAATGTAGGGAGCTTTCCTAGTGTCCTGGCCAACAGTCCCCAAATACAATTGGGTTGTTAACTTCAAGGCGGTTTGGGGGTCATTGCAGTAAACAAATTGGCTGCAGCATTCCCCAACAAATATACACAATCACTGCACTTAACAATGAATCCTGTGAAGTGCTTTGAGATGTGAAAGATGCTATACCAAGTGCAAGTATTATTATGTATGTATTATTACTATATTGTGGTAGTACCCAGATGTCATTCACTCTTGTAGGTTTTGCAACCAAACAAATTGAGTAAATTGTCAGCTGATCTATCTGTGCTTCATCAATGGCATTCTTGTTATTCACCTACAATAACTTTCATTTCTGCAGGAAGAGCAGAAAGAACTCGATGAGATCATCGCAAAGAGACAGAAGAAAGGCAAGCATGAGGATGACAAGCCAGCAGAGGAGAAAACCGTCCTGCACGGTAATAAATCTTTTTGTTTGTTTCTTACAAAGGTTTTCAAATCCCGAGCTGTCATCCTTTGACTAGAAAGAATAATTATGGTATATTTACATTGTATTGTGTTTGCAAAACAATATTAATCTTGTAGTTCAACAGGAAGTTTTGCTTTTCTCTTGAACAAAATGTCTCAGAATGTGTGTGTGTGTGTGTGTATGTGTGTGTGTCTCTCTCTCCCACTCCCATCATTGTACTAGTTAGTTAGATTCCAACTGGGAGTTAGGATTCTTTCTACTTAACTCTCGTTAATTCTAGAAACCAAAGCCCTAACAGTTAGGGTGGTCCTAGTTGGACAAGCTACAGGAAATTTGTCAGTTTTCGCAATGACAAGCTGCATGGGTTTAGCTGTTTGAACTCCAACAGTACCCCAATGCCCAGATCCTATGCCGAATCCTCTCCAGGATGAGGGAAGCTGAATCTCTCCAGTGAGAAATATGTGCTTAAGAATCACTTGTTGCCTCATCCAATGTGTGAATTAACCTTGTGTCTACAGTGTTTAAAAGGTCTATTAACAGACTATTTAGCCCTTGGACATTGAGTTAATCCATGTTAGTAAAGCATGCTCTTTTAACAAAATAACTTTTAAGACTTTGTGCTTGTGAAGAGCTGCCAATTTTTTTTGAACACAGTGTTCACTCCTGCTGAGCATGTGGTTCGTTTTATTACATTTTTAATAGATATTCTAAGGTGTGTTCCAAAGATACTTATGAAGTATGTGGTACAATTGTACGTTGAGCATTATCACTTCCACCTTCATAGTGGTTTCAAATAATTTGTAGTTACCTTTGAAAAGGATTTGTAAAATTGTCCAATAAACCTGTTCAATTTTGTTTGTGAGTAAAATGCCAAAGCTCTCTCCCCTTGTGTTTTTCCCCTCTTTTATAGTCAAAGATATGTACGACTACCAAGGAAGATCATACCTTCATATTCCTCAGGATCTTGGAGTCAATTTACGATCTTCAGAGCCACCAGAGAAATGTTATCTTCCCAAAAAACAGATGCATATATGGACTGGGCACACAAAGGTATGGTTGAAGGCTACAGTTGTCAACATTTATATAGGTTGGCTATTGTGCTAAAATGGTGACAAAAGATTGTCCCAGGAGTAGACAATGTGTGACGTAGACATAATGAATACTAATGAACATATTTACATTAAAGTTGCACAGTATAATTAATAGATAAATACGTGGGACTTTTAAGGTGTTTTCTATTGTAGATTTTTATATGAACCAGATTGTTTTAAATGTACTGCTTCAGGCAGTACATTTTATAGGGATATTGTTGTCAAAGAGGCTAGATTGCTAACAAAGTTTCATTATGTTGCTATTAATAAACTTCATATTTTTACTGACAAACAAGATTTTAACACATGCGGAGCATTGTGAAATGGTGATGCTTGGATTGCCTCTGTGATTTGCCACTCCACTGATTTCCTGAGCTTGTCTGTGCAGTGAGGAAATGGAGATAAAGTGCCAGGCAGGTACTTTCATACAGCGAGGGAGCAGTTCATCACCAGCCTGCACTGATGTAGGCGCAGAAGCAGTTGTGTGGCTGCACGGTGCATGACTTGGAAAATCTGTAAAAGGGGAAGAAGCCTGGCTCAATTGGTAGCACTTTTACTTTGAGTCAGAAGGTTTGGTTTTGTCAACTTTGTTTCACGATTTAAGGCCTGATTCTGTTAAACAGACAGATGGATACTTGGTGGATAATCAGTGTTCTATTCTAGTTAAATGACATTTATTTAATATAATTCCATAGTATTTTCTCCCTAAATAATCTTTGATGTGTTATTTTTCAGGGTGTCAGTGCTATTCGATTGTTTCCAAGGTCTGGCCACTTGCTGTTGTCTTGTTCCATGGACTGTAAAATCAAAGTAAGAATTTCTTGCATTAATTACTGACTTGTGCAGGTTAATAATGTATAACAAATTACAGAGTAATAGTTATCTGTGAGTGATTATAAGAATTAAATCACATTGATGCATTCAAATGACATAGAAACCATGACCATGAACCTTGAGAAGTTGGTCATTTGTCTCCCAAATAATAATATATGATATAGTGCCTTTCATATCGGGAGAACGTCTTAAAGATCTGCACAAGATTTACACCATAAAGTGTAGTGAGAGATGTAATAGAGACACTTCGATGTACCCTTTCACACCCCTTTTAATAATATTCATTGTAGCCATTTCTATCCACCCTTTCACACGCTTTTTAGTAATATAAGTAACAGTATCATTTTGACTTGGTATTTGGGGACAGGGGGTGCTACAATCAATCCCGTTTGAAAGCATTTTTATTTCCCAGGCAATAGGTATCACAGCTAACACGGTTACTGTATCATTTCAATCAAGTATTAAATTCATAGTTGTAAGATTACAGAAATGCAATCTGCATTAGATTACAGACAAATAACACTGCTCTGTATACTGTAAATTAGGAATGAAATTTGAGAGATTTTGTATGATCTGAACTATGGGAACAAATCTCTAGACCTTTGTCAGCTGAAGCCTGAGATCTGGTTACAGCTTTGCATTTGGTCTCTTGAGTCTTTTTGTTAATATAAACTGCTTCAATTTTGTATGAAGGAGTTTTGTGTTCGGTCAGGTTTTGTGCAGCTGTCAAAGCAGACTGCACCTGTCAGTGCACTTTATCCTGGTGTGATTTTGTTATTTTGTCAGCCAGGTTTCTGATGCATAGAGAAGAGAAAGCCATTCAAACTAGACAGAAAGTTTACATTTGTATGCTTCCTGCACATGGAAATTTCCCTGTGCCTAGAATGGAATGTGCACTCTCCCTGGGGAGATGCGTACCTAATTGTGGAGAGTATTAGGCGCAGGTTGACAAGAACTAAGGCTTGGGAATATCAGAGTCCCATAAAACCACATAGCTTGGTGTAGAGAACATTCTGGCAAGCTTCCCATTGCTTGTCCAGCTAGGACCAACATACTCATTAGGGCTTTGGCTTGCAGGGTTAACAGGAGCTGAGTGGGAAAAATCCCTGCACTTCCCCAACCCAATGACTGCTAAACATCTAGGCTGGCTAGGATCAGCAGTGCTCTGGAATACAATGGTTTCTATCTGGCTCAGGAACTGGACGACTGTTTGCATAGAAATAGTCACTACACTTTACAGTAAATCCTGTGAAGCAATTTGAGATGTCTTTCAGTTGTGAACAGTGCTGTATCAAATGCATGGATTATTATTATTATAACTGAGACTGTCGAGGGGAGGGGAGGGTGGTGCAACCTTTTGGCTGTCACGGGCTGCTTTCCCTATTTGAGAAAGGTCCGCTGGCTGCATCCAGCCCACGACAATTTCCAACATTCCAACCCATTCCCTCTCTCCCTGATGAATGTCCTCCCAGGGCAGCTGCAGGAGCTGGCAGTTGAAAAGGGGAGAGAAAGTGGGGGGGAAAGAGAAGGGGGAGAGAAAGAGGCCTAGTGAATTCAGATAGTGGAGGGACACTCTGCCCCCTCCCCCCTCTCTTTCCCCCCTCCCCCTCTCTTTCCCCCCCCCCCCCTCTCTTTCCCCCCTCCCCCCGCTCTTTCCCCTCTCCCCCCTCTCTTTCCCCCCTCTCTTTCCCCCGGGGGTTGGGGGGGGAACATTCACCAGGGAGGGAGGGAGCAGAAATTGGAATGGTGGAAATGGTCGTGGATCGCATAAAATCACCGGCCAGGCCGCTGGTGGCCCATCGTGCTGCCTCTTGGACCACCTGCTCCAAGGGTTTGACTTGATTCTAACCTTCCATGCCAATCACATGACCTCGGAGCCAGTTCAGTCTAAAGACCTTACTTATCTCTCATCAGGGAGGGGAGTCACTAATTGGTCATTTGACATCCAACATAATCTCCATGAACAAGGGGAATAATGTTTTCAATATTACTGCAGATTCATTATGAAATTGTATGTCAGGAATATTAATATCCAATATTTATATAGAAGTACATTTGCTGAGATTGGTAATTTTATTGTAAATGAATCCCTGTTTCGAAAATTCGAACCTATGCAACATCAAAGATTGTAGTGTTCGCTACATACATGGTCATTCAGCCCATTGAGCTTGTACCACTAGTGAATCTAGTAACTCTTTCATTCTCGCCTTTTCTTCATATACCTTAAGATCCTTAGTTTTCAAATATCTAGCTACATCTCTGTTTCTATTTTCTATCCTCTGAGCGTGCATCGTAGCTGCCTCTTTTGGACTCATGCTCCCATACATCTCACCTCTCTTCCACTAAAATTGTCTTTGAAACCTATCTCTTTGACTACACTGTCAGTCGCTTCCCTCTTACCACATATTTCCCACACTGCTCTGGCTCCATCTCCCAACTTCATGAAGCACTTTGGGACATTATCTAATGTGAAAGCCTTTATATAAGCACAAGTTGTTGAATGCTTTGAGGAAGTCCATTTTCATATTCACTTAATACTAGGCTAGCATGTTGTAAATAGGATGCTGTAGTAGGATTTAAAGTTGCACAACATGTTGTATTCACAGCAGATAGCAGGACAGAGTGAGTGGGAAGGCACATGTTTGGTTATCCAACATAGTTGAATAAGTTTCTGATCGCAGCTATGATTCAGAGTAAAGCCCAGATGACTCCTGACAGGTGGGGAGCGAAAATGTGAAGAAAATGATCACCAGGCTGCACCAGGCTCCCCAGGCCTGGGGAGGTCAAATTTGGAGGGTGTTGCATTGTAAGAAACAACTATTGCTATATAAATGTTTTGCTTTGTTCACAGCTTTGGGAGGTTTATAATGATCGCAGATGTCTTAGAACATTCATTGGTAAGTGGACTGATTCATTATTTCTATTCTCATTAATGTGACTAGCCGGATAATGTAATGATGTCCTGCAGAAGTCTCTGCAAGATAGTTAATGAACATTACTTGCCATCTAACTTTGATACTACAAATTATAGAGTAGAGTTTCAGAGTAGAAGTAAAAGTGACTGCTCTTCTGATACTTAATTGTGTTGAATGGAACCTTTTCTGAAGTGTGTATCCTTAGTATGTAATGATGCTTTCACACACAGGGAAGCATAGTGCATTCACTCTTAACTGTATTAGAATCTATGTTTGATTATTACCTTGTTTCCAAATTTTGATGGATTGGTATTTAAGTGCAGCTGGGTGTCCATATGTATCAAGCAAAAACTTCCAACATGACACAAAATATAGAGGAGACAGTGTTTTTTTCTGTAATCTGAGAAGGAGGAGCTGGCCGGATGCAATTTAATGCCTAAAGGTTTTAGCTAATGAAGCCTGTTACATTTCAAAGGGATGGGAGCTAATAATGAAACACTTTAAGGTAGCAGCTTATTGTAAAAGCTCTGGTAATGCATTTCAAAGGAAAAATCCCCTATCCAGTTTTACAGCAATAAGGACAGGCATTTTTAAATAAAAAGCTTTTGATGTGAGAAATGTGAGATTTCTCTTGTTTTATTTTTTAAAAAAGGCTTCAGAAGCTTGTGTAATAATGATACATTGCTTTTAATAAATCTAATTGTAACTAATGGCCATTTGAAATTCTTAAAATTTTGTTAAAATGCATCAGGCAGGTTAGGAGTTCAAATAAACCAACTTTTAATTCTGCTTTGATAACTAGGGAATTGACGTCAATGGTTTGTCAGCTACTCAAACCCAATAAATCTTTGTAGTTATTGATTCATCCACATTCATGTGTTTTCTTTTTCTTAGGTCATAGTAAAGCTGTCCGAGACATCTGCTTCAACAACGAAGGCACCCAGTTCCTTAGTGCTGCTTATGATCGATACCTTAAACTCTGGGACACAGAAACAGGTGTGTGAAATCATGTAATTTTGGTATTAATATATATTAATACTAAACTTACTCTGATATGTATGAGTTGAGAAATAAATCAAGAAGGTAAAATAGTTTTTAATAAAAAGTGAAAGCTGCTTTCACTAGACAAGTGGAAGTGAGAGAATATGCAAACAATATATCCATTTTGAGAACTACTTGTAAACTGTTTAAGAGCAAAGATGGATATGGTACTATCTGATAGGTCTAACAAAGCTGGGCTTATAATGTTTACATATATTTTCACTGAATGTGTTTTAATTTTCCACTATTTATTGAAATGAGATAAATTACCATGAAATTTAAAGGAGTTAATTGGAAATCTATAAAAGTAAAGGTTCTTCCAAACAAGATGTTCTTGAATGCGTGTCTTGTTACATAACACTGACAGACAGATGGTAGAAAGCCAAGTAGGGAAAGGTATTGTTCAAAAGTTTTCGCGGTTTTCCTTTGAACTGTTCTAATTGAAGACTAAATAGCAGGTCTGATTTAACGTGTGCAGTATAACTGCTTTCTGTCGACAACGTAAAATGTATGAGTGTGTGGATTTTAGCTCTCTGGTCTAGTAATGGTGACTTTTGCTTGTGTCAATTTCCTTTCCCTTTCTTCTTCCCATACTAACTCTTTCTAGATAGGTCCTGCAGTCTTCTAGTTTCTTACCCAATTGGCCATTATTTGTGTGTAAAGCTAGTTAGTGAATGTTAGCTGCTTACTTTGATGCTTTTGATACTTGATCTTCACACATAAACACTTTGCAGAAACAGGTTACTGAATACCATCAGTAATCAGAATCCTGGCCGTGTTTTTGCCCCCACGACCGTACGTGATGCCTCCCCTGAATTCCCCTGATTGAGATCGGCTAAATAGAAGAAGTATTGAACCTGGATCCTTCTGGCCTCTATGGCTCAGGACTACCCTCCTTCAATATTGCACTGTAACACACTAAGCCATTAGGGGGTGCTCTAATGGTGCGGTTTGAGGCAGCTGCTGTAACACATTCCTGGCCTATGATCGTGGTACTTCAATTCTTAGTACACCAGAGCAAAATAGGACCAAGCAAAAACAAAATGTATTTTAATTGTAGAAGTATGTAAGGTATTATAATGGACCTTTACACTTGCACACCCACACACTGAATGAACACGTATCCAACGCATGCCCTCTGTTTTGTGAAACCTCATTTACAGACTTCAGGAAAAGGTTGAGAGTTGCTGCTTGACAATCATTCTCCTAACTTTTGACTGTGGTAAATCACAGTACACCCAAGTCCTTCTCTACTCCCCAACTAACCTATTCTCCCTCTTTCTATAATAGACCTTTAATGAAAGCAGCATGAATTGTACAAAAGTGTTCATTTAAAAATCTTATTCTTTAGTATTCTGAAGTCTTTTATCCTTAACCCATTCATTGTGTTTCTTTTCCATCAGGGAAATGCCTTGTCAAGTTTACTAATCGAAAGGTTCCATACTGTGTCAAATTCAATCCTGATGAGGACAAACAAAGCCTATTTGTGGCTGGAATGTCCGATAAGAAAATTGTACAGGTAAGATCTACTTACAGTTCTCCACAACTGTTTGGATTCTTTTGTGCTAATAGTTGTTTATTACCCTTTCATTATCACCTGTGAGGTAATTGAATGAGAATTATAGCAAATTTACAAACCTGCAACATTTGTGTTACCGTTTCTATCATTAAATATTTAATAAGAATTTTATAATATTTTTGCTCTGTTACCTCTGTTTCCTCTCTATCTCCTTTGATGGGTCCGCTACAAAGTGAAAGAGTGCTTCTGGCAGCCAACCAGTTTTTGAGCTTCCATCCTTTGTTGTGTTCTTAACTTCCAGTAGGTACACAGGAGGAGCATGGGTTAACTGTCTGATTGTACTTTTTGTGTGTAAGTATAGGGGAATCCTGTTATTGCACTCTATGATATAGCGTTGCCTTATTTTTACTACGGGTCTACCTGCGAATCTACAGCTGGTTTCTGTCACAGTCCAGATGGTTTCCCAAACTAAAAAGTAGCTGAATTCCATGTGACTAGGTTACTGTTGATATTGCTTCTTGTGCGTTGTGCGGATGCACAGAGTGTAGGAAGCGATGTTGGCAGTTCTTCTTGTACATGAATGTAACACGCTGCAAGTGACATTGACAGCAGCCTGACAACCTGGATGTTAACTTTTTTTCTGTGCCTCCCTTACAACACAATCCACGAGACATTGAACCCAGCTGACTGCATTATAACACGATTTCTCTGTTCTCCTTACCTAGTTGACCCAATTTGAGCCTGCGTACTAATATTCTGCTCTACATTGCACATTATACTAATCCACTTTGTCTTCCAAAGAATATTCTCTAATTTCATAAATTAAAGATCAATATTGTCCTTTATTTTGCACTCTAAAATGGTTTAAGGGACAAAACTTTAGACAAGTTTAAGGGACAAAACTTTAGACAAGTTTCCTTACTCCACATGCCTCTGTTTACCCAGCTTTAAGTACCCCTGTTGTTAGTCAATTGGCAGATTGCTTTCCAGGGGAAATAATCCCTTCAAAAAAATAAATTATGATTTGGTCACTCAATCCACGACTGTTTGTGGGACACTGTTGTGCGCAATTGGCTGCCAAGTTTCGCCCACAGCATATGCAGTCAAATCACTTTACAGTATATCCTGTGAAGCGTTTTGAGACATCTCAACAACTTGATAAGGCTCTATATCAAATGCAAGGATTATTATTATTACATCAGCTACTGACTTTAAAATTACTCTTGTAACCTTTCTCGATCCAAACAGACTTATTGTGGTGCAAAACCCTGTACGTTTGTCACACACAGCGTTGTGTAACATTGTGTAAAACCAATGCAGACATGTGGTAGTGCATGTGCTGTTTTCCTGCAAGCAATAATGCATTCTTCTAGAGTTTTCCTTTGGATCATCACCTCCTGCTTTGATGTAGAATTTGCACTATGCTTCTCAAAAACATGAATAAACACTGTGTGCAAAAAACACATTGTTTTATGTAATCTTGTACTTTCTGCAGTTTTTCAGAACATAAAGAGTACTATTCTGTGCTTCTATTCGATAATTGGACATTCTTAGCAATGCAGAACATTACATGAGTGGCTGCACATGTTTGTATGGAACAGTTATTGTTAAAAATTAGATTTCACAGTTCTGGTTTCCAAATAGGCCATCATAATGTTTTCTTTCTCATTAGGAAAGGATTGGTTAATTATATAATAAAAGGGAATCTGTAAATCCCTCAGTACAGATGCATTTAGACATGAAAAATAGTACAGCTATTTACACATGATTAACAAATGGCATACAATTGACTCAAAAGACCCACTGGGGAGAGAAGAATGCTATTTTGATATTATGGCACCAAAAGCTAGTCATTATCAGAGAAACCTAGTCATTATCAAGTTTTCTTAAGCAAATTGTGTATGAAGTTATTAAGGATTAGCATTCCTGTAATATGTAACTGTAAAGCTAAAATGTAGAGGAACTGTGCCTGGGAGTGGATGGAAATTTCCAGTTATATAAATAGCTTGCAAAAATTGAAGGTGCCCCTTTTTTTGTTACTACTTTATTCTTTATCAATCCAATACATTATCGTATTGCAAGGAAATTGTACAGAGCTGGACAAAATGTAAACAATGTTATTCCCATTAAAGCACTGAGCTGAAATCATGAAGGTGGAAAACAAGTAAGCCTGACTTCGAAGTTTGAACTCCCACAAGCTAATTGCACTCTTCTTAGATTTGTAATTAACTTTAAGTAGCTACACATGTGAAAAACAGCTGTTCCATTTAAGATACAAAGCAAAATTATTTAGAAACCAGGTCACAGCAGTTGCTATTAAACTGTTCATTGAGGATTTTTGTGCAGATATGGGAAAAAACATTAAAGGTTACACTCTACTTAACGATAGGGATCTGTATTCCTTTTAAATATTTTCAGTATGCTTCTCGCTTTAAAAAATGAGATCTTTGCTTAAAGATGTAAAGAAATAAACAATTAACAATAGTTTTTTGAGCAGGAAATGATAAATAGACTCACTTCTAAGATGACAAGCTCCTTTGTTTTTCATGTTGCCAATATTGGACAGTAACTTTCCACAGCATAACTGGCAAGTTGTATTTTGCATTGTTGGATACATTTATTGCTTCTCTAATTTATGCTCATTACTAAACAAATAAGGCGAAATCAAAACAGTTCTCTATGTAAATTTGTGGCGTTTTATAAAGCATTTGGTGAGAATTCTCACATAGTGAAATACCATACATTTCAATTCTATAATTTAGTAACATGCAATGCACCTGTCAATCTGGCACCTGTCAATCTGCCAGCATATCACACAAAATCAGTTGGTAGCACTCTTGCCTCTTAAGTCAGAAGATTGTGAGCTCAAGCCTTGCATCAGAACTCTGAACTTGTATAATCTAGGCTGTCAATCTCGTGCAGCGCTGCAGGGGAGTTCTACATTGTTGGAGTTGCTAATCTCGAATGTGACGTTAAACTAAACTCTCGTCTATCTGTTCAAGCGGATGTTAAAGTCCCATCGTTTAGATAATTATTTGGGAAGGACAGGTTTGCAGGGTTATGGGGAGAGTGCGGGGGAGTGGGATTGAATTGGATAGCTCTTTTCAAAGAGCTGGCACAGACACGATGGGCCAAATTGCCGCCTCCTGTGCTGTTTAATTCTATGATTCTATGAACGCACTATTCAAAAAGAGAAGAGAATTTCTCAGATACCCTGGTCAAAAATCTCCCCCAAAAATTGGTCATTCACTTCATGGCTTTTTGTGGGACATTGCTGTGCAAACTGGTTGCTGCGTTTGCCTACAAATCCAGTTGCTGCACTTTACAGTATATCCCGTGAAGTGGTTTAAGATGTCCTCGTGATGTGAAAATTGGTACATTAAATGCAAGGATTACTATTATTATCAGTGTAGATACAATCTGAACACATCTGGTCAGTTTGCTCAAATTTACCATGAGGTAACGGCTGGAATGTTGCACGTTATAGAATTATACAGCACAGAATAATTATTTCTCTTAAAAGTTGTTATCAAACTGGTTTCTACTACCCTTTCATGAAATACATTCCAGATCCGAACAATTCGCTGTGTGAAAACATTTCTCCTTACCTCTCCTCTATTTCTTTTAATAACTATTTTAAATCGGTGTCCTCGGCTTATTGACCCACCCGCCAGTGGAAATAATTTCTCCTTGTTCACCCTATTGGATCCCTTCATAATTCTAAAAAAAACTTCTATTAAGTCTCCTCTTAACCTTCTCTGCTCCAAGGAGAATAATCCTCGCTTCTCTCACCTCTCCTCATAACTAAAGTCCCTCATTCCTGGTACCATCCTGGTAAATCTCCTTTGCACCCTCCCCAATGCCTTGACGTCCTTCCTAAAGTGTGGTGTCCAGAACTGAACACAGTCTCTAGCTGAGGCCTAACCAGTGTATTATAAATGTTCATCATAACTTCCTGACATTTGTATTCTATGCCCCTATTTATGAAGCCTAGAATCCCATATGCTTTTTTTAACAGCTTTAGCTACCTGTCCTGCCACCTTCAAAGATTTACTTATATGAACCCCAGGTCTCTATGTTCCTTCACCCCCTTTATGATTGTACCATCAGCTTATATTGCCTCTTCTCATTCTTCCTCCAAAAATGCATCACTTCGCATTTCTCCACATTAAACTTCATCTGCCATGTGTCCGCCCATTTCACCAGTCTGTTTATGTGCTCTTGCTGTCTGTTACTGTCCTCCTCGCTGATTACTACTTTTTTCTAGGATAGTATCATGTCTTTACCCTCTACTGTTCATTGGTGTCAGTGAATAGCTGGAGATTCTGGTACGCACAGTTAGGCAAGTGCATGTCTGTTTTCTTTGCGTCTTGGACATGCAGCAAATTCCAACACAATTGCTCCTTTAAGGAATTTACTTACTGCCATTAGATGTTGCTATTCTTATCTGTGATATACAGTGGACTCCCATTACAATGGAGGATCACTTATGGTGTGATTGGGGTGTGCATGCACCCTGATATTTACTTACCAAAGAATCCCAAATGTTTATAGAAAGCCAGCTGACTCCTATAAAAATGTCAGCCAACTTCATACATCTGTGCATAATGAATGTGGAAGTGCTGACTGGCATAGGAAAGCATTTCCATCTTTATTACATGTATGCAAAGTGTCCATTTGGGGAGCCAGTCATCCACTGAATTAGAGCACTTGTCCTTTTATTTCTTAAGCTTAAATGGCTTTAAGGGCCTGAGGTTAAGATGTTTTGGTGTCCACACCAAATTAGTTCCTACTTGCTGAAAAACACTGCATAAAGACCCATAAAGATAAAAATAACAGGGATGACTGATATATGAAAAGGAATATGTCACATTGTTGCATACACAGGTAAGATTTGTACACAAATGGCTTTTGTGTTTGCTTATAAAATGCACAGTCATTACACTTTAAAATCCTACGCAGCACTTTGATACATTCTTCTGACATGAAGGTGTATAACATGCAAAAATGATTATTATTAGGTGCAAAAAGTGGGATTTGTTTTATTTTCCTCAATTTTAGGAACACAAACTAAAATATTTTAAAAGGAAAAAAGTGACCTAATGTGCTGTAAGCTTTTTGAAACCCATCCACAATAAAATAGTTTTTGAAAAAATACAAATATTGAGTTGCTTTGTTCCTTATTTTCCTTCATACAGTGGGACATTCGATCTGGAGAAGTTGTTCAGGAGTATGATCGGCATCTGGGAGCTGTCAACACCATTACATTTGTGGATGAAAACCGGCGCTTTGTGAGCACATCTGATGACAAGAGTCTTCGAGTCTGGGAATGGTAAGTTTCTTGTTCTCTTGCCAAATGTCTCCCTATCTGCCATCTCCTGAAAGTGTGCGACTCCATTTTCCTTCTACTTTCATGTTTTAATAAGAGACTATCAAGCGTTAATATGCGGCCCAAATGTCCAAGGAATCTCATTATAAGTGTTTCCTTAGGTTCAGTAAGTGAGAGGTCACGTTAAAGGCGACGGTCACAACCGATGTCACTTCCTTCCTGAAAACTATACACAGGAAATGCCTCTTTTCCTGAGGGTGATTTGTGCTGTTGTGATCTTCTGGTACCTTGCCCAAGTTACTGTTCTTTGTGTGTGAGCGAGATGGTTTGCAGGTTGGAAGACCGTCACTCAGCAAGCATACATGAATCCTTTCTAGTGGGGATTAGTGGACAGAGAAGTTTAGCCCTGTCCTAGGATGCTGAGGATTATTTTAGCTCCCAGCAGTGCCCTCAGCTGAGCTGAGGTTTGTTTTTCCAAGGGTTTCAACCTCCACCAAAATCCATTTTGGTTTATGCAACCCTTTTAAATTTTTATTGCCTAATTTAAATGTTATTGTATTTATGATAGTTGATGTGTTTTTTTCATGAACAGCAACGTAATCTGTCAGTAGTTTTAGTAATCCGTCAATTACAACTAAAATAATTTTTGTTATTAAACTTTTGAAAACAATCTTTAACCTGCTGAAACGCATTTGAACATAGAACAGAAAATGCATAGCAGGCTGCAAATCAACATGTAGGAGTTACTTCGTTTGATTATAACATCCTTGGATCCATTCATTAGTCTGCACTACTTCAGTGATCTGAGCAGGTTTCATCTCAGCTCTGTAGCGCCTTTCATCCAGTTCCCAATGAGCTCAGCAGCACTTTGAAGAGGCTGTGACACATTGAAAACTTGCGTCTAATCGATCATCTCCTAAACCTAAACTATTCATTAATCAACATCAAGCAAAGGAATGGAGATCTGGTGCAAAGACGTTCCTTTGAAAATCTGTACCCCTATACATACCATCCAAATCATAGGTGGCAGGCAAGCTTTATGCTGATTTAAACCATCAGTTTGGATGTATTATTACTTGAAATTATGTGCACTGTGGAGTATTTTGCCTCACCCCTTAGGCTACCGAAACCCTCATACACACATTCGTCACCTCAAGGTTCGACTACAGAAACTCCCTCCTTGTCGGCCTCCCCAACTCTTCCCTTCACAAGCTGCAGATCATCCAAAACTCTGCAGCTCGTGTCCTCTCCCGCACCAGGTTCCATGACCCATCACCCAATTCCACTGGCTCCACATCCCTCAGAGGATAGAATTCAAAATCCTCATCCTCACTTTCAAGGCTCTCCACTGCCTTGCCCCCTCCTACCTCTCTAACCTGTTGACCCCCTATCAACCTGTCCGCTCCCTCCGTTCAGCAGGCTCCAACCTGCTCCATGTCTCCCGCTCAACCAGCCCTACCATCAGCCTCTCTCCCCCAACCCTTTGGAACTCCATCCCATAATCTCTTTGTCTTGCTCCCTCCCTTGCTTCCTTCAAGGCATGACTCAAGACTCTTCTTTTTAACTATGCCTTCAGCTACCCTCCTACCTCTCTGCCCTCCCTCATTCCAACCCTGAGCACCCACACTTGGGTCCTCATCCTTGACTGTTCGGTGCTTTGGAACGTCCTCCCGACCTGAAAGGTGCTTTACAAATATAATTTTGTTTTTGTTGTATTTTGTATAAAAATTCTCTTTCAGAATCTCTTTTTGTGTTCTGATTAAATACAAATCTCTTTTCTAGAAAAAGTCCTGAGTGACTTTGCAGGAATATCTGTCACTATAACATTAAGCAAGCTGACATCCTAAACTGATTTGTTAAAAATAACCTGCAATTGGTTTGTGAAAGTATGGGGGGAAACTATATTAAAATTCAGAAATCCTTTGTAATTACACGGTTCTGATTTCAGATTATGAATTATTTTTCTGTTCTCTGAAGAACAGAGACTCCTTTTAGTCTTGGAAATCTGAATCCCTAGACCTCTTTTAACTCTTACGTTTTTACCATCTAGAATTTATTCCTTCTACCAAAGTGAATCACTTCACATTTCTCTATATTAAACTGCATCTGCCAGCTGTCTGCCTATACTCCAAGCTTCTTGCCTTACTGCGTCTTTTTGCAGTGCTCTTCATTATTTAATCCCTCCAAACAAAAAGAGTAATAAATTGGTCATTTTCAGTCCACAGCGTTGTGGGACACTGCTGTGCGCAATTGGCTGCCGTGTTTCGCCCACAAATATACGGTCAATTCACTTTGCAGCATATTCTGTGAAGTGCTTTGAGACGTCTAGAAGACGTGAAAAGCGCTATTATCAAATGCAAGGATTATTATTATTACTTACCATTCCCAAGTTTGGTGTTATCTACATATTTGTCGACTTTTGGCACCACTCCTCCCACAGTGTTCTACTGCATTCGTATTCCACATAATTTTTTCTACAATCTGACGCATCTGATCAATATAATAATTGCAGAATTAAAATATCTTCTTCCCTTGTTTTGTCTTTACATCCATATTTATTCAAAAAGGCTGCAAGGATTCTAGGAATTGTAAGTTAACATTGAATACTAATATATTTCCAAACTATTGCTAGGGTATATCAGCATTACACATTATGAGACATCCATTTGATTTTCCTTTACTGTTTAAAGCAATATTTTTAAGGAGGACTGAATCTCATAATTCATTTATGATTTAGAGGTAATAAACATAGGAAACTTTGCAGTGGTTTATGATGGTGGAGTTTAACAAGCTGCCAGATGAGAATGTTGATTTTATATGGAAAGTAAGAATGTAAACTAGGAAGGCAAGTATGAGCTGTGTAAGAACATGGATCTAATATCTAATTTAAAGTGGCCCACATTGGGACTTTGAGCTAATAGTCTGACACTCCAGCACAGTACAGGGAAGGGACTATATTGTCGGAGGTTCCTACATTTGGATAAGACGTTAAACGGGGGTCCTTTCTGCATATTTGGGAGGACATTAAAAATTCTATGGCACTATTCAAAAAAAGAAGCAATTTCTCCTGACATGTTGACCAACAATACTCGAGATAAAATTGGTTGTTCATTTCATGGCTGTTTGTGGGACATTGCTGCGTGCAAATTGGGTGCTGTGTTGGTCTACACAGGCACAATGCTTTATAGTAAATCGTGCAAAGTGCTTTGAATCATTTGATAATGTGATAAAGCACTATATCAAATACAATTACTATTTTAACTTGAAAATTAAGGCTTGTGAGCTACTTCCAGTGCTCTCTTTGGGTCACTTTGTAGCAGGACACAGAGAGATGCTTCAGCCATCTATCTACTCGGAAGTGACTTTTCCTCTTCCTTCAAGAAAAAGTATTTTGCCTGGATTTGACATTTACACCCTTTACAGCTTATCTTATAATCAGAAATTCACTGTTGACGAATTGAGAATGAGCTTTTAGTTAAGCTATTGCAACAACATTAAACTCCAGCAATTTATGTCAAATGTATCATAGCGGCTTAGCCCCAGTTTAGGGATTAGATCTGTTTCAACACATAAACCAAATAGCTTTTCAGGAGTGCTGTTTGCTGGATGTACTTTTCTTGCCTATATGGACCTTTAAGCGTCTCTAAACTTAAATTACTGGTTTTAGTTCAAATTTTAAGATGAAATATTTCTCCCTCCCTTCCTGTAAATAGTGGTGGTTAATAAATGAATAAATCATTTTAAGTAGTGATTTGAGCATTTCAGATGAATAACCTTCAGCATCAGTGGTACTTTGTGTTTGTACCGGCCCACCCCATTCCCTTTCATCTGCAAAAACGTTTGTTAAAACCACAGGAGCCAAGAGGAGCCAGTCAGCAGAGTACTTTGTTGTTCAGTGGAGCTTGGAGTGCACAGTTCAGATATACCCCCTCAATCACCGGGCAGTTTATTATTGAGATTAAATTGTTGGTTGTGATATTCAGGCCTTAGGTAAGTGTAATCATTAACAACCAGAAGGAGGTGAAACTTCTATCCCATAAACTTGAAACAGCAGGTTATAATAGGAAAATCTGTTCCTCAGATAAATAATGGGCTACATGATCAACCTTCCTTGTCAAAATAAAAGTTATCAAACAATTTATGCCGCAGCCTTTTTTATTTTATAGGTGAATATCACAAACCTCTGGCTGCTCTGTCTCATCATATGTTTATTGGAAAATCTTCTCAAATATCATGGAATGTGCATTCCCAGTGTCATGCTCAGAATCTGCAGCCCTCTTACCCTGCATCCTTACAAAGCATGCTCTTTCATGCCTCTGCTTGGTACATTTTTCTCCAGCCACCGGGGAACCCAAATATCACCACAGGAGAAACATAACTTGGCAATCCTTAAATGCTCTTCATCTTGAAAGATAATTTCTGTGAGCAATTTTCATTGACTAATAAATAGTTCCAAAAATATTACAAGTTATGGTTGTTCAAGCAAACTTCCAGTGGTTTTAAATTAAACTGACTGTCTTTGTTTTGAAACATCCATATTTTACATTATTTAAAGCTTCATTTTGTTTTGAAACGATGTATTGGAGTACAAATATGTGGGACCAGCAAATGGAGCAATCCAGGTTGTATATTACTCAGTTTTCCTGATGAACTGATTTCAACAGCATTGTTGAAAAAGTTGCTGAGGCATGAACAGGCAGAGGGAGAGAGGAAAAGATCATTACTGGGCCACTCTCCCACTTGCTGGTGTTTAACTGAAGAGACATGGGCATCTATTGGTGTTAAATTAGCCACTATAATGTAATTCCTGGGAAGTGCTTTGAGACATTTCAATATTCAATATCTTGTGTTTTCAAGAGTCAAAAATGCAAATTCTTCTTTCTAATCACTGTGGAAAGACGGTATTGACCTTCAGACTGGGAAACCAAATTCAACACATTTATTATCAAATATTGATCATATTTGTGGAGTCCTGTAGCTCAGTGGTTAGAGCACTCGCTTTG